AACAATAATGTACTTATTGCCATAGGAGCTGACGAAGGGACCCATGAAGTCAATCCCCCAGATATCAAACACTTCCACCTCTTGAATTGGGTTCATAGGCATCTTGTGGCGCCGTGAAATATTCCCGGTCCGCTGACATTCATTGCAGCCCTTCACCCATAGGTGCGCATCTTTAAACACTGTCGGCCAGAAGAATCCAGCCTCTAGCACCTTTGTCGTTGTCCTAACCCCTCCAAAGTGTCCACCATACGCCGATGCGTGACAAGCCTGTAAAACAGAAAATTGCTCTATCTCGGGGACGCATCTCCGGATCATATTATCAAGGCATATTCTAAACAGATAAGGTTTATCCTAGTAATACTGGCGGCTTTCACGAAAAAATCTTTTCCTTTGGACCGATGAAAGGTCGTGAGGAACTATACCACTGGCCAGGTAATTAGCAAAATCTGCATACCATGGCACTTCCTGATGAGTGGTGGCGAGCAGCTGCTCGTCTGGAAAAGTTTCCAGTATTTCCTCAACCTCAACTACATTTTCAGCTCCCTCAAGTCGTGATAGATGATCAACGACTTGATTCTCAGTGCCCTTACGGTCACGAATCTTAAGATCGAACTATTGCAATGCAACACCCAACGAATCAGGCGTGGCTTAGATTCTTTCTTTTCTATTAAGTACTTGAGAGCTGCATGGTCAGTATATACAATTACCTTGGACCCTATCAGGTAGGATCAGAACTTGTCAAATGCGAACACTGCAGCTAACATCTCCTTTTCAGTCACAGTGTAGTTCAACTAGGCTCCACTCAGCATTCTACTAGTATAGTAGATTGGGTGCATCAGTTTGTCTTTCCGCTGGCCCAATACTGCTCCCACTGCATAGTCACTAGCATCACACATTAGTTCGAACGGTTGCTCCCAGTTGGGGGCAACAATGATGGGTGCTGTGACCAGTCTCTTTTTCAACTCCTCATATGCTACCCTGCAATCATCAGAAAACAAAAATGGGTGATCTTTTGCTAACAACTTACAGAGAGGGTTGGCGATTTTCGAGAAGTCTTTTATGAACCTCCGGTAAAAATCGGCATGTCCAAGGAAGCTTCTGATGGCTTTGACTGAAGTTGGTGGAGGCAGCTTTGCTATTACATCAACTTTTACGCGATCCACCTCTATTCCCTTTCTTGACACCCGGTGCCCCAAGACTATGCCTTCTTGTACCATGAAATGACACTTCTCCCAGTTCAGAACCAAGTTAGTCTCACCATTTCAGCACACGCGTCAGATTTATCAGGCACTCATCAAATGAATTCCCCACCACTGAGAAGTCATCCATGAACACCTCCATTATGTCCTCAACCATGTTAGTGAATATGGCCATCATGCACCGTTGGAATGTGGCAGGTGCGTTGCATAGACCAAAGGGCATCCGTCTAAAGGCAAAAATGTCATACAGGCATGTGAAGGAGGTCTTCTCTCTGTCCTCCGGTGCAATGGAGATCTGATTGTACCCTGAGTACCCATCCAGAAAACAGAAGTGTAACCTCCCTGCCAAACTGTCCAACATCTGATCAATGAAGGGAAGTGGGAAGTGGTCTTTCCAGGTGGCTAGATTCAACTTTCGATAGTCCATACAAATTCTCCAGCCTGTGACGGTTCTTGTTGAGATCAATTCATTGTTGTCATTTGTCACAACCGTCATGCCACCCTTTTTAGGAACATATTGCACTGGGCTCACCCAGCTGCTATCAGAGATTGGGAAAATAATTCCCACATCCAACCACTTTATCACCTCCTACTTCACCACTTCCTTCATGTTGGGGTTCAACCTCCTCTGATGTTCCCTGGAAGGTTTGTGCCCCTCTTCCAGCAGAATCTTGTGCATGCAGTAGGCGGGGCTGCTCCCCCCGATCTCTGCCATGGTCCACCCCATGGCAGTTTTGCACTCCTTTAGTACCTGTAAAAGTTTTTGAACCTGCATAGCTTACAAACTAGATGAGATAATAACAGGTAATGTGGAGTCAGGTCCCAGAAATTCATACCTGAGGTGGGATGGCAATGGCTTTAACTCCAGTTTTGGTGGTTCTTCAATGGATGGCTTAGCTGGAGGAGTTTCTCTCTTTTCTAAGTGCAAGGGCTCAAACTCTAGATTTCTCTCCCAGAACGCTCTANTACCTATTCCGCCAAATCCTCACCATTCACTTCATCTAAGTTCATCAAACATGCAGCCAGGGGTTCCTCAATTGACAACACCTCATCATCGGACTCTGCAATTACATCCACGGCATCAATAAGAGAGCAATTGGCGAGCTTGGTCACCTCATAGACTTCTGCACATTGAATGTTATTTCCTCATCATTGAGTCTCATTTTGAGCTCCCCAGTCTCACAGTCAATCAGAGCTCTCCCCATGGCCAAGAATGGTCTTCCTAAGATTATAGGAATCTCTTCATCCACTTTGTAATCCAAGATCACAAAATATGTAGGGAACACAAATTTCCCCACCTGAATAAGCACATCATCAAGGATACCAAATGGATGCTTCACAGTCCTGTCGGCCAACTGCAACAACATGGAGGTGGGTCTAGCTCTCCCAATTCCCAACATCTTATAGATAGCTAGGGGCATAAGATTAATGCTGGCCCCTAAATCACAGAGCGCCTTAGCAAAGGCGAAATTCCCAATAGTGCATGGAATTGTAAAGCTACCTGGATCAGACAGCTTTTCAACAATAGGTCTCGTCACCACTGTACTACAAGTCTAAGTAAGTGTAACCGTAGCCAAGTCTTGAAAATCAAATTTTCGGGACATCAAGTCCTTCATCATTTTTGCGTACCCATGCATCTCCTTTAAAGCTTCAATTAGTGGAATATTTACCTGGATTTGTTTGAGCATTTCAAAGAACTTTTTATACTGCTCCTCCTTTTGATGCTTGGCCAGCCTCTGTGGAAAGGGTGCAGGAGGTCTCTTCTTCCCAATCACTTGGGACTTCTCTTTATCATCTACTATTTCAACTACTGGCTCAGCTACTTTCTCGGTCTCCTTCTGAATGTTCTTTTCTTCCTGAGCAGGCTGGACTGTCACCTCTGTCAGTATCGTAGACTCATCCAGCTCAATGGGCACTTCAATGAATGTCTCAGCTTGTATATTTTCTCGAGCTCTCTCTTGTTCTACATCTAGATCCCTGCCATTACGGAGACTCACCGCCATCAGCTGCTTTGGGCCCTAATCTTTTGGATTAATCTGGGTGTCTACAGGTAATGTCCCCTGAGGACGATTGTTCAGAGACATTGAAATTTGGCCTAATTGCATTTCAATATTTTTGATTGCTGCGTCATGTGCATCTACTCTTTCATTTATTTTTGCATTGGACCCAATAACCTGCTGCATCATTACTTCAAGTCTAGTGAACCCATCTTCTTACCTTCCACCATGCTGTTGCTGAGGTGGGGTATACCCTTGCTGCTGATTGTTATACCCCTGTGGCCTTGGATAAGGTGCCATATTGTTGGGAGGTCTCATACCTCCCATGCTTCCAGCGTTGTACTGTGGTTGAGGTGGTCTGTATGGATGCTGAGTTTGCTGACCCCAGTTTTGATTGCCCTGTCTCTGGCCTCCATAGTTTGACACATAGTTCATGTTTTCAGGGTGATGATGATGATGATCATGTTCTACATTCCAAGGATTACCAACTGGCTGACTAATGCAAGATGTGCACAAGCCCCCATTGGTAGTATCTACAATGTGCACTTGCTGTTTCTGCCCTGATTCATCCACTTTTTTGGTGAGTATGCTCATCTGTGTCAAGAGGGTCGCCACATTTTCAGCCATGGAATTTGATGGGTCAAACGGCACTGAGTGCACCACTGGAGTGATAGGTGCATTCCTTGTCGTCCACCCCGAATTCTGAGCCATTTTATCAAGCAGACTCTGACCTTCTCTCCAAGTTTTGCTCAAAAATGCCCCACCAGCTGAGGCATCTACAATGTTCTTCATGCTATCTGACAGTCCCATGTAAAATCGTTGTCCCAACATCTGATCTGGAATACCATGGTGTGGACATATAACCAACATTCCTTTAAACCGGCTCCATGTCTTATGCAGTGTCTCCATTGGTTTCTGTTTAAAGCTCATGATCTCATCAATTTATTGAGTTGTTTTGTTGGGCGGGTGGAACTTGATGTGAAATTTCTTGACTAACTCATCCCAAGTTTCTATAGAGTTTATGGGGAGTGAGTTTAGCCAGACCTGAGCAGCTCCTGTCACCGAGAATGGAAATAATAACAGCCTGATTGCTTCCGGAGTTACGTTGGGTTGCCTTTGATTTTTGCAAATCGATAGGATGTTCTTCAAGTGCTGCTGAGGATCTTCGGCTGGTGTCCTAGAAAATAGTCTCTTATTTTGCTGCAAGTGCAGCATGTTGTTCGTGATCTGGAACGATTCAGCTTGTATCACGGGCATAACAATGGTAGTGGCCAGATTGTCAGGTGTGGGTTGTGCCTAGTCATATAGTGCAGCCTCAGGCACAGGAGGTGCCATATTTCTGACGTTTCCGTTGACGTTGTCTACGTCACCCATGTCAATTTCGAGTTGGTGTGTTTGATGAGGTTGTTGACGTATTTTGTTGGCATGGTTCAATACCCAGAATGTTTTCTCGGGGTCTGAGAGTCCTTCAAGTAGTTCTCCAGTCCTCGTAGAGTTTCTAGGCATACACCTGTGCAACCACGTCAACAACCGTCAAAAATTTCATTCAAAAATTTGGTAGAGAAAACTGACTACACTAAAAAATTTGTATTTCTATCAATGGTAATTGATAATTCCGTTAACTACCCAGCAACGACGCCAAAATTTGATCACGCCCAACTATGCCTTATAAAAGGACAATGCGGACGTTGCCAACTTCCCCTATTGATGGAATCCCTTCTGTTTATGCTTCATACAAATTGACCAACACCTCTATATCAATCATAAACGCTCATCTTACCATAAATCTCTTTCGAGTAATCACAGTAATATACTCAATGCACTCTCCCGAGATACACTAGCTAGCTCTAATTAACACGGTTCACTTTAGATTGCACTCAAGGCTTCGTTATCCCTAATCCCGCCTTTAAACCCGCAGTTATAGATCCCTCTTATACTTTGGGAGTGGTGTTGTTCAACAATAACCTAAATATGCACTCTCTCCCGAGTTATGCACACTAAATAGGCACAACTAATTGAGGATCCTGTCAATTAACTACAACATGCACAAAGTTGAACAAATAAAGATTGAGACTAGCAATTTGTATTCACATAAACAAGAAGTTCATCCCCCAATAGGTTCCATCAAAACCCTAGACAAAAGATTTAGCTACTCATAACTATGGGTAAATAAACTAAAATAATATTCATCATAAAACTTGCAAGAAAAATAAAGAGAAGAAGAAACCAAGATGTTTTGGATGATCTCTCACACTTGTTCTTCTTGCCCAAAATACTCTCCAAAACAATACATGCCTCTCTTGGGCGGAGTCTAGTGTTTAAAATAGGGTTTTGGGCTAAAAATCCCGTGTTTTGCACTTTAGTCCCTGAAGTTCTCCACCCCCGCCGCGGTTCTGCCGCGGTCGCGGTCAAACTGCGGCCAAACATGCTCTCTGATTCTCACTTTGTCTGCAGGGATCTTCTACCGCAGTTCTGCCGCGGTCGCGGTGAAACCGCGGCAGTACTCTTTCAGTTCTGACTTGAGTTGTTTAGCGTGGTTTACTTGACCGAATTTTACGATCGACTTCGTTTTCTCCATATTTGATCCCAAAAGTACTCCATAGCCTTCTTTGGTCATATATAACCTGCAAAGCATGAAAAACACTAATAAGAGCATTTTGTTATCACTTTTATCATCTAAACTATACAAGAAGGAGGTTATTTAGGGCCTAATTATAGTTAAATTCACCTATTATCAACACCCCATACTTAAACCTTTGCTCGTCCTCGAGCAAGTTAAACCACACTTCTAGGCCTAATCGTTCGATGCATTACCCAATTTTTTTTATGCCACACCCGCCATTATGAAGGAACAACCTAAGCAGTGCAACAATCACGCCTCAGAGGAAGACTCTAACACCATGACACACTCATGCTCACTCTTGTTACTCTAACAGAGGTGAAAACTCACTTTTTCTTTCTGAGTCACATGCCCTCACATCATAATTCTGAGAGAAGTTCCACACATAAAATTCGAGCAACAAGGAACCAAAGATATCGACTTGTGGATTCTATCTACTTTGGTTGTTATATGCACCTCCGAGTTGCTCTAAGTTGCTTCATATGCATTCACTATTTAGAGTGTTATAACAGTGGCTTTGGACTACCTGTTTAGATTCTACTTTGCTTTTGTGCACTCAATGAGGTTTCTTACCTTTTGTGCAACTGATCCTACCTTTTTGTACCTTGCACATGGCTTGAAGGAGGTCAAGTGCTAGATGTCTGGTGCAAATTTTGAGCTACAAGTTTCAAATTTGAGATGTTCCGTGTAGTTTTAAGTTTTTATCCTTTTTTGCTTATTTATGGTAGTATCTTATGAACTTGGGTACTTGTTTAAACCAGTACTTTCTGAACTGTTTCTTCATGTTATAATCTTCACTATGTGGTAATGAAGAAACACTCCGGCAGTTAACGTATAATTTAAAGGGACCTGACCATACATACTTACCAGCAAGTTCCAAAAGAGATAGTTGTAAATTTGAAATCTCTTATAAGTTGATACAACAAATCTATACCATTACCACACCATATAAAAAACTGTATTAACACCGTATTCGTAAAAGCAGAATAGACCATAGTACTTCAGACTTCAGCTAACTAATAATTTTCAGTACTTAAGTAATAGAGATTGCAAATACACATGCTGTCCAAAAGCACAATTTCCAGTATGTAGCCATTCTCATCTTCAATGCAAATGCAAATAATCTTCTAAAACATTGCAAACACTTAAAACATAAATTAAACCTTAACCATGTCAATTATACATAAACCATGTTTGAACATGGGTTACATAATCACTTAAATATGTCAATTACACCTAAATTTTGGTTGATCTTAAGGTAGCTATTTCATTATCCAAGCACACATGAATCCAACGAAGCAACACCATACCATACCAATCATATTCCAATTTTCGGACCACTTTCCTTTACAAACACTAAACCTCCATCCATTTTTTTCTTAGAAACATCATTGTCTCCTTTAACATCATCAAATTCCTTGAAATCTTCAATTTTTGCAATATCCCCTGCTAAGACGCTTTCAATCTCGACAACCTTCATCACCAGAAGATTCCTTTCACGTCTAAGAGCTTCATTTTCATTCTTTAAATTACTGATCAGTGACGTAACTCTAAGAGGAAGTTCATCATCTACCCATTCCCAAAACTTATATTTCTGTCCCTGCGCAATAATTAGAATAAAATTATTGACAATTTTCGATCATAAACCTAAGCAAAAATACACAAACAAGTCTTATAAAATTTACCTTAGGCATTGAACACTTGTTAAATTGTCTGCTGGCATTATTTGGAGTCCAAGCAGTGAATTAGCTAGCAGCAACTCCACAAGATCACTTCCTCCTCGAACCATATGATGAACTCGAAGATCTCTAGCTCATATTTTGGGAATTGAATGGTGAAAGATGGTGGGAACAATAACCCTAACTTTGTCATCCAGAATTGCACCGGAATTAGCAGCAACTCTATGAGTTCCTTGTTGAGATTGAGAAGAAGAGCTATCCCTAATTGATAAGTGAAGTAGAATTCGGGTGTTTTTAGAGATTTGGAGACATGATCTTGAGTCTAAAGGTTTCAAGTTGAGCAGGACGAAGACGAAATAGCTCGAATGCAAATTTGGAGTTGAGCCGACGGAAGCGGGAGTTGAAATGAGGCTTGACTCTCAAGTCATTCCCAAGAGGGGTAGTTTCAAGTACCTTGGATCGGTTATTCAGGGGATCGGGGAGATTGACGAGGATGTCACACACCGTATAGGGGTGGGGTGGATGAAGTGGAGGTTAGCGTCGGGAGTCTTGTGTGACAAGAAAGTGCCACCGTTACTAAAAGGTAAGTTTTATAGAGCAGTGGTTAGGCCTGCCATGTTATATGGAACTGAATGTTGGCCGGTAAAGAACTCACACATCCAGAAGATGAAAGTAGCAGAGATGAGGATGTTGAGGTGGATGTGCGG